AGGGAACTGTTTAAAAGAGATATATAACTGGGTGTTTCTGTCATCACAGGAGTCTAGAGCGAGGGCTGCATGGTAGAGGGGACCTGGGGGGGGGTTGTGGAACAATGAAAGAATCTTTTCTTTTACTTTTCCATAATTTTTGACTCATGTACTTATAACTTGTTAGTCCTTGATTTTTAGATCAGTTAAAATAAAAACAATTTTTAGAATCATCTCTGCATTTTTAAGTTCAGTTTACCTTGACCCAAATTCACTGCCTATATTAAATCCATTTCTTTCTTCCTCCTTATCTTTTTTAAATTCCAAGATAGTTTGTAGGAGTTGGAGATATTTTTGTCAAAAATTGGGGAGGAATTGAAAAAAAATGAGAAAAAGGATTGAAGATATTTTAAAAAATGTGCTCTCTGAGCTGTCATTCTTTTAAAAAAGAATATATTATTTTTTAAAACAAAAGACATTTTCAAGGCAAATTTTGCATCTTGTATCACAGTGATTGAATAGATTAGATACACTTCATTAGTCTTTACGTTAAAAATGTAAACATATATATTTATTTATGCCCCACTTACAACATTTATTCTTATTTCTTTTTTTATAATATAATTTCTTTTTTTATAATCAGAGTATCTCATTCAGATATAATTAGCAATATTCAGCAAAAGCTCACAATGAACTTACTTATAGCATATTTGTATCTTATAAACTTAGTTTATATTGCCACTTAATTTAGAAATATATTGATAATCCAAAAATGAGAAAGCCATAACTAGAGATAAAATAATTAGAGGATTTGAGAGTCATAGGGCACATCTTACTCATCATTTCCTTTTTCAAGGGCAAAAATATGGTTGTTAAGTGCTGTCAATATGACTCATGAGACACTGTGCCCTATCTTATATGAATCTCATCATCTCTGACATACTTGAGCCTGTTGTAACCGTCCTAATGTCCATCCATGTCATTGAGGGTCTTCCTCTCTTTTGCTAACACTCCATCTTTCTAAGCATGATGTTCTTCTCCAAGAAAAAGACTCTTCTAAGAAAAATCACAAAGTATGAGAGATAAAGCGTCACCATCCTGCCTTCTAAGGAGCACTCTGAGTATACTTTATCTAAGACATTATCTGTTCTTTTGACAGTCCATAAGATATTTGGTACCCTTCTCCAACACCATAACTCAAAGACATCAATTCTTCTTCTATCTCTTGGATGGATAGCAAGTGATTAAAAAGACAATTACTTGAGTCTTGTACACCTTAATCTTCAAACTGATATCATTACTCTTCATTATTTTGAAGAGGTCCCTGACAGTGGGGTTGGCCAAAGCAATGCATCTCCTGATCTCCTGACTGCTATTCTTTATTGATTGAAGTAAGATGAAATCACTGACAATTTCAATCTTCTCTGCATTTACCACGTTGTCAGCTCTGATAGCTTTACACTTGTGGCATTCTGGAATAGTAATTCTTTCCTTGATATTGTTGACTTCAGTCTCTACCTCCTGGAAACAGTTGCTTGTACTCAATCTTCCTTTGTTTCTTTTTGGTTTTTTGTTGGTTTTTTTTTTCTTTCTTCTTCTCTCTTTTGTTTAAACTAGGAAACTTGGTGAAGAATTTCTGAGGCAGCTGCAGGAATTTTGAAAGCAGATTCCCAGGGATGGGCTTAGCAGGAAGTATTCCTTGGCAAAGTCCAATCTTAAATCATCCCCCAAACTTTTCATCTCTAAATTTCTCCTTCTTTCTCAGTAACCATAAATTCAGCTTTTTGACATGATGAGTTAGCTTGTTTCATTGGCATTTTTTTAAAAAAAATTTCCTGTTTTTAACATTTTTTTAAAAACATAAGGTTAAATGCAATGGAGTATTCAATTTCTAATTTATTATCAAGGACAGATTCTGCAGTTCTAGTCTTTCTAGCCTTGTCTTTCCAACTTCTTCTTTGAAATGAAATTTTCAGCTTTCAATCTACAAACGAAGGGGTTTCTCAGGAGGCAGATCTATTTGTCTTTACACGGAGAGATAGTCTTCTATGAACGATACCTTGTGCTTCTGTGAGTCCGTGTTAAGACCTTCACTGCATATATTGTAATGATGGAACTTCTGTTTCAAAAATTCAAACTTCATCTTCTCCTATCCTACTTTAATTTTTGAAAATAGAGTGCTTCTTTTTCCCCAACTCCTGGCTGCCCTATCCTGCCTTTATCACATAAAACGAAAGTTTCTAATTTAAACACTCCTTCGATTAATAGTGTTTTGTTTGCTTGTCTACTTTTTGGCTGAGTCAAATGAAGTGGAAGACAATGTTTTTAGGTGGGTTTTTGGTTGCATTTTCACAGGAGATAGAAGACGGGAAAAAAAAAAATACTTTCCGTTTAACACAGCAGGGCCTCAGGAGAGAACGCACCCACGCCAAAGATTAGCAATTTGGCTTTTCCTGCACAACAGCCAGAAATCAGCTTTGTAGCTTTTGATTCAGGGCCAGGGCTCCAGACGGCAGTGGCACCAAGGTAGTGCTTAGCTTGGAGAGTGGCGCTGTCCTCGGTGCTGAAACAGAGAGGGGGTCAATGGGCGCGGCGGCTCCCAAACTGAAGGTCTCCTTCTGGGACCGCCGTTGCTGCGTTCTGAATCCTGCTTCCCCACGCCGCGCGCGCTCCGCGCGCCCGGCTGCCAGAGCGGTGCGGGCAACCAGCAGCAGGCCGGGGGAGGGGTTAGCGCGCGCGTTCTCCGCCTACTGCGAGTCGCGCACGCGCGCCCAATACTGCCTCCCTCTCTCTCGGTGACTTGCTTCTGTATGTGTGTATGTGAGTGTATGTGTGAGAGTGTGTGTGTGCGCGCGCGCGTGAGAGAGAGAGGAAGAGAGCGCGAGAGAGGGGTGAGTGTGTGTGAGTGCATGGGAGGGTTCTGAATATTCTGAGACACTGGGACCACAGCGGCCACAAGGCTGAAAACTGCATCCAACCAGTCCTCTGGACTTCGGAAGCAGGGACAGGGCCCAGGACAGCAGCAGCCATCAGGACCTGGGAAATAAGGCTTCTTCTGCTTCCACTCCAGGTTTTTAGCAGCTTGGTGCTAAATTGCTCTCTCAAAATGCAGAGGATCTAATTTGCAAAGGAAAACAGCCAAGGAAGGAAGAGGAGAAAAAGGGGGGAAAGGAGAAAAAGAAAAAGAGAGTGCTTTGTGGATGCTCTACTTTTCTTGGAAATGCAAAAGATTATGCATATTTCTGTCCTTCTTTCTCCTGTTTTTTGGGGACTGATTTTTGGTGTCTCTTCTAACAGCATACAGATAGGTAGGTACCCTTTGTGCTTTGCTTTTGAATTGTGCATAATTTGGTGGTAATCTTTGTTCATAGAGGACAAATTAATTCATGTCATGTAGACTTATGTCATACCTTGACTGCATTCCAGATTTAAATTGCCTAGGATATATATGATTTTTCTTATAATGAAACCGAGTGGAAAGATTGACTTTCTTACATGTAGAAAATGTTCTCATTTCTCACTCCCTGTGTTTGATGAATTCTGCCTTAACATTTCCGTGTTTGTTCAGATACTCTAGGGGTCTGAATGCAATGCTTGTGATTACGAGGAAAGGCGAAAATCTCTGACCACTTACCTTGCCCCTCAAATTCTCATCTTGACCCTCTGGCTACCATATGAATGTTGAAACCTCACAGTTAGAGCGCGAGGATTGTTGGTCTATTAGCATGAATAAGAGACTCCTGGAGTGTCAGGCACTCCTTTCCTTCTCCGGCACTGACACTGTTCTCTTGCTTGGTGTTTGTTCTTTGCAGGGGGGCTATTTCCGAGGGGCGCTGATCAGGAATACAGTGCATTTCGGGTAGGGATGGTTCAATTTTCTACTTCGGAGTTCAGACTGACACCCCACATCGACAATCTGGAGGTAGCAAACAGCTTCGCAGTCACCAATGCTTGTAAGTAATGAATATTCATGTCTTTCCGGTGCAGCACGCGGAAAGCCAGGAGGCTGAGTGCAGGATAGTGTGTGCGTGT